TCATCTGTCCATCATCGTATAAAGCCCGCCCTGACAATTTGATTGGCCCGCCAGATATTGTGCGAGGCTGCGACGATACTCCCGCTACTATTGAGCAATGCCAGACCGAACTTCCCGACCTCAAACGTTGTGGGCGGGACTAAGTTCGGAATGGCACCCAGGCTACGTCGGACCCACAACCTGCCTGACACTTTAACTCTGGACAGTTTACACATACAAAGATACACATCTATAGTGCAGGGCTTCTGCCATGTGTGGAACCATCTCTATTTCATATATTTTTAACCAAACAGTCAATTTTGAATGCTTAGTCCAACAGCTTAAGAGAAAAGCTTAAATATTTAAGAACAATAATCTGTTTTTGTAGTTAAAAAATGAGATTATTTGTCTCAGTAACGCTTAGAAAAATGTATTCAGTTCATTGAACAAATCTTCATATTAGACGGAGAGGACCTGGGTCAACTGGCATGTTTTAAAATGGTAAAGAAAAAGAAATATATACTACTAATCAACAGGATCCTTTGGTGAAAAACAGCACTAGCGGCTCATTGTTGGAAAGTAGTCTGACAGGAAAGGGGTGTAAGACAGGGGGAGAGACATGCGGCAAAGGACCACAGGCCGGATTGAACCCGGATTGGCCACGTTGAGGACTAGTGCCTCTGTACATGAGTTGTGCGTGCTAACCACTGCACTACAGAAGCATGCTCCGATCAACATTTTTTAGTAAATGAAGAACTTGCTTATATTTTCAAAAGTTTAATTCAGTTTCTCAAAGCACACACTGACCTGTTAAATTTCAGGCATGTAGAACTGCATAAATAGAACCTGTCTGAAAACATGAAGTAGGATAATAGGTCTCAAATCTTGACTGGATGGGTGTGATATAAAAATTTAAAGGTTAAAAAGCCCTGTGTGACCTACCAGAAATCCTCATAGATCTCCCACACGACTCATCTGGGAAGTCACAGACACATGTAGATACTGCCTCGGTTGATTTAAGAGGTCATGATTCAGAAACAGGAAAGAAAGACTGGGCAACTACTACTGACACAAAAGAACACAAACATCCTTCTTCTGTTTAACAGATAACTTCTCGTTTCTCCTATGGAATTTGGGGAAGTATTGTATGGATGTATTAGACAAAATGGGAACTTTATGGAAGGAACAGATAATAGCTGCAGTAAGTCATGGCAGTTGTATGAAGGTCTGGATCTACTTTACTGTTTTACCTCAAGCTCAGTGACTCCACCTTTGAGCAGCTAACAAAAACATTTAGCTGACTGGGATTGGCCTAGTCAAAGTCCAGACAGCGCATATAAGAAATCCGTGGCACCACTTTTAACAGGTTGGTATGCTACAAAAACACTCCAACGTGTCTCAGTAAATAAAACTAGAGAAGTAGAGAGGGTCTAAATTCCTCCTCAGTGATAGTCAGAAACATTTCATGGCCGCTCCTGTAACCAGTTACTAGGTTTAAGGGAAGATAAAGTCAAAGTTTTTTTTTTTTTTTTTGCATCATTCTAACACTTTGCAACATTTTCCTTTCAGAGTCGTCCATGCGTTACTCCAAGTATGAGGTATGAGTCTTCATTAATAGATAGGAGTACAGTATTTTATTTATTTTCCTAACTCTGTCATTTAATCTGTTATTTTTATACACTTAAAATCCACATTTGTGTGACTAATTTTACTTTTATTGCTGTAACACCACAATTTCCCTATTGTGGGACAATAAAGAGATTTTCTTTTCTATTCTATTTCGATTCTAATCTCTCAAAATGAATACATTTACTTTTTTCCTTTCCTTGTCCACCCCAGCTGCTGCAATCGGCCCTTAGTGCCCACCCTGACAAAGTAGAGAAGACCATCGATGACATCATGGCCTTAAAGAAGATCAACCCAGACACCAATCCACAGTAGGACTCCTCACTGCCGCATTCATGTCACCTTTTAACCTTCGAATCATTTTAGTTTGAATGTTGTGTTAAACTGACGTTAGTAGGGGAAGATCAGATGGCCACCGCAGATGAAGTCCTTCTCAGTGCCTTTCTCTGTGTTTCTCCAGGCTGGGCATCTCTCTGCAGGCCAGTCTGTTGCAGATTGTGGGCTACAGGACTCTGATTGTGGAGGTGGAGAAGCTTCGCAGGGAACCTTATGACTGTGAAAACGCTGAGCATGAAAACATGCTGATGAAGGTTCAGTAACCTGTCAATTATTAACAAAATAATTATTTCCATTTTGTCTTTTACTAATCCCTTATTTATAAGAGAATAGGGTTGTCTTTGAGTTCTTCAAGTTCAAAAGTTCATGCAAACACTAGGATAACAAGCGATAAACGATTTGAAAAAGGTCAGATAGTGATGTCATGGAAGAAAGATGGCTGAAGATGCAGATTGAGCAACAACTTAAACATCCTTCTTCCTTGTTAGACATCATAGAAAATAAAAATGAAAAAATAGAGGGAATCATAGCCCTCTATCAGTCGGTTTCAACTAAGTAAATCGGTTCAGTCAGAGGTTCGAAGAGTTTATGCAACAATGTTTTACCCATTATACGGTTAAGGAAGGAGAGGAGTTCTGGAGTTCTATATTAAAAAGATTTTATCCTTAATCCAGATCTTTAACCTTATTTAACAGTTTTCCGTTGCCGTTCTCTGAGAGCTGAGGTTAAATCAGACCGAAAGCGGTCACCTGCTGTAAGCTGTCCTCTGTGTGTCTGTTTGTTGCAGCTATGGAAGGAGCTGCGTCCTGACACCCCCCTCACTGCCCGCATCTCCAAACAGTGGTGTGAAATCGGTTTCCAAGGCAACGATCCTAAGACTGATTTCCGAGGGATGGGACTGCTGGGCCTGCAGAACTTGCTGTAAGCTCAGAACCTGAAAACGTCAAAAGAACCCATTTCTCTTTCACTTGAAACAGAAAACCTGCAAACTCATCCTTTACTGGCCAGTAAAGGATGAGTTTGCTGGCCAGTAGAGCTTTAATACTTGGCCAGTAGAGCTTTAATACTTGATTTGCTAATTTAAATTTGATCTCTCTGCAGGTACTTTGCAGAGCATGACAAGGCTACTGCTCTGCAAATGCTCCAGGATTCACTACAACCAAAGCACAAGTATGTTGGTGTAAAGTTGAACTGAGCAAATGGAGCGGAATCTGTTATGTGTTTAGGTGGAATTACAAATGTAAGATCAGACGAGCATTTTAGTTAGCTTATCAGTCAATCAAAACTTCAATTATAAAGCACAATGACTTGTCATAAGGCAACTAAAATGTTGTTTTGGCTGTTTGTTGCACCATGTCCTGCTAATCTGACCCACAGTGTCACTAACGTGTGATGCAAAATTTTGACCAACTCTCATTTGCAGAAATGTTTGAATTCAGCCATATTTACGGGTGTATTTTTAGTAAATTTAGTAAACAACATTTCGCTTACAGAAAAAAATGATTATAGAGTTATTGTTTGCATCTTGCTTTAGCATCTAATATTACATCTTATAGTGCAGCTAAGCTAACTGTGTTGTCCTGGTCTCTAAGTGTATTTCTTTACTTTCTAAAACTCTGAGCTTGTGTATCTCCTGTGCTTCTACCACCTCTCTCCTCCATTCCTTTGCCTGATTAGCTTCACCCTTCCAGCTCCATGTCATTCACTGCCTCACTATTTTCTGACTGCTGCTGCTCGCTTTGTTTGGCATCTGCATATCAGTGAGTTTGTCTCATTTCTCAAATGAAGATTCTTCTGTTGTATTCTTTTGCACTTCACCGTCATCACTGCCGCTCCCTTACTTTCTGTCCATCCTGTGCACTGTAGGAGCACTCACAGAACGCCCAGGTACTAACCTCCACTTTCATTCACTTGCTCTCTTTTTGCATTCATAAACTTTTCATTGATACATTTTGGAAAAATAAGCTTTTAAAGGTTTTATTGCAATACATCGTTTGCAGTTGAACTTAAATCTTTGGGTTACTGTGATTAGAAAACAAAAAAACAAGTACTTCCATTGGTATTCAGTAAATTTTGATGTTTTCTGATTTGCTCCTTGTCTCTGATTATTTATTATTTTTCTGACTTTATCAGTTTTAGTTCCATTTGATCACCTGCTACAGTTTTTACTGAAGACTCAGTTTGAGATTATTTTAAACATGCAAAACGCTGGCTATGTCTGCTGGACGCTCTCAGTGTCGTGTCATACGTTGGTGTTCCGAGACTCACCTGTGTTTCCTTCACAGTGAATTGAACAAGCCAGACTGGGAGCAGAAGAACCATGACAAAGCAATCGGGTAAGTGATTATAACGCAGCTTTTACATGTGAGCATGTTTGAATCAATATCTAGGGCAGGGGTCACCAACCTTTTTAAGGCTGAGGGCCACTTCAAGGGTACCGAGACGTAGGAAGGGCGACCATTACTGACAAATAAGCTGCAAGGGTTAGCGTTAGCCTAAACTTTGTTCATTATCAACATATTTTTATTGTTTCTGTTAATTTCTAAGTTTATTTAGACATTGTCATTTTGAAATCTCTATAAATGATTAAAAAGAAGAGCAACAAAATAAAATGAAATTACAAACTTATCCCACTGGTGGGTTGTTATTTATTTAGAAGACACTGAGGGCCCCCCATGTGGTCCTTGAGGGCACCTTGGTGCCCACGGGCACCGTGTTGGTGACCCCTGATCTAGGGCAGCAGAAGTCCAGCCTGAACACATGTTGTTTGTGTTCAGACTGCAAAAAGTTGGTAATCAAAACATGAGACACAGGGTAAAAAAAATATGCTTCTGTGAGCTTCTGTAAGCTGAGACCAGCAGTAAATATAATAACCAATAATCACCATGTATGTTTCTGTATTTGTCTCTTTAAAGTGTCTTGAGATAACATATGTTGTGAATTAGTGCTATATAAATAAACTGAATTGAATTGAAAGATTTGTGGTAAAACCAACCTAACAGACCCTCCACACCCTCCAGATATTCTTTTGCCATCGTGGGCATCAACATCACAGACCTGGCCTACTCTCTGCTTGTGAGCGGAGCTCTGAAGACCCACCTGTACAACGTGGCCCCAGAGATGCCCAACCTGCAGCACTTCCAGCAGACCTTCTGTGAGTTCAGCCTGTCGGCTCATTCGGCACGGTTCCTGAAAAGCCAGACCCGTTTTTTTTTGTTTTTTTTTTTATCGTAACAATCACTTATTTAAAAAAAAAAGAAGCAGAAATAGAAAAAATAGCTTTTTGTTTGTTTAGTTGATACAAAAGTCAAATTTACTGCTAATAATTTGACATTTTGCTGAAGGAAATAAAAAAAATAACTTACTAACTTATTATACTAAACATTAAAGTGTAGTTGGTGGAAAGACAAGCAACAGTCTTTTTTCCATAAAATAATTATTAAGCAGGAAAATATAAATTTAAAAGCCTTTGAGGGAAATTTATCCCACAATGAAACCACCTTTAGGAATACAGAAATATCTGTGTTTAATTAGGCAGTTTATTTTTAATGCAAAGTAAATGAATGAATTACCCTCACCAGCTTCCAATGGAAAACATTCATTAAAACGACAATAAAAAGTTTAGCTCTTGTGTAAAAAAACTAGAGATTCTTTTAATTCTTAAAATAAAGTTGTTTTTTAATGTTACATAAGTTATTACAAAACAGAACAACCTCAAATACTATTATAAGGACAGTAGGGGGTGATCATACTTTTCTGTGACGAGATAACAAAAACTCTGATCGCAACATATTAATGATCCCAATGCTCAGAAAATCCCAAGCAAACACAACAAGGATGAGTTCCAAATAACAACAGACTTTCTGCTTACAGAGGAGGGAAAGCATAGCCTTCAGACAGGGGGGGATTAACAATTAGGCAAGCAGTTGCCCAGGGCCCCAAGTTCCTGGTGGCCCCATAAAACTCTTTTTACATTTATGATTAATAACACTATTCCTTATTTGTGCACATTAATTATGTTTCTGAAAAAAAATCCTTTGCCGAAAATTCCATCAGAACGCTTGTAATATGTGTCTCTGTCCCCTTCAGTGTCCACCATATTGGATCAGTCCATTTGCTGCACATGTTCAGAAAGGTCCAAACAGACAGCAGCAAACCATTGAAAACAAACAATGCGAAGAGCGGTGGTGCCAACTTAGCGCTTTTGTCGCTATATTTAGAGACATTTTAGACCCCTCTAGCACTTATATTTAAAAAAAGTGCCTATTGCTAAATCTAGCGACTTTTTTCTGCTACTGGAGACTTTGGCGACAGCATCCAAAAGCAGCGAACTCCACTCTCCAGAGCGAGTAGATTGGTAACCCCGCCTCCTGCTCTCCTCTATGTCTGCTGTCGTGATTCATGCAGCTATTATTTCATCCAAATGAAAAATGGAGAACAGATAAGCAGATCATGGCTTGTC